ACACACAAGTAAAGTGGGGAAAGCTAAGAGCAGAATGCACATGAGCACAGTGAGAATTGCCTTCATGACACCGGTACACAGAGGCCATGTACAGCCAATCCCAGATCACATCTGTACCTATGACCTCTTTCTTTCCTAGCCATCCTCTCTAAGTCCTCAGCTTTTTTTTTTATTAGTTCAAATTAGGAACAATCTTGTTTCACATGTCAATCCCTTCTTCCTCTCCCTCCCCAGGCTTCAGCTTTTTAATGCAATGTTATGGGTAGCTTGAGTATACAGCCAAGAAGATCCATTTCCATAGTGTCCACTAGCACAATACTTCCTGAGAGCTGTAAGTTAACAGCAGGAGGCAGACAGATGGTCAGGACCTGCTGCCCTCGATAAGGGTTACTGGATGAATTTTTTTGTTTTGTTTTTCGAGACAGGGTTTTCTGTGTAGCTCTAGCTTTCCTGCAACTCGCTCAGTAGACCAGGCTGGCCTCTGAGAACTCAGAGATCCCCCTGCCTCTGCCTCTGCCTCTGGGGTGCTGGGATTAAAGTTGTGCACCACCATTGCCCAGCTCTGGATGGAATTCTTAAACATGATCAGGTTACTTGCTGCAGTCTATATTAATACATCTAAGTACCTTTATATATAAAACAGGCCCATTAGCTGGCCAGAAAGAAAAGAAAAATGAAGCATTTATACCTACGCTGGCCACACATCTGTCAAGATAAAACACAGGTGAAATAAGGTTGATCAGTTAACCCAAAAATATGTGGAATACCTAACTAGCCTCCATGCTTCAGAACTACAAGATAAAGCCCATATTTCTTGATGACAGGATTAACTGCAGAGATGAGCACACAGAACATAGTCAGGGAACCCTGACTTAGGACTGATGCTTGTCACTCTCTCCAGGGGCTTTAACTTGCCTTCTTTCTCCTCCAGGTCTTCACACATGACCTTCGCCTCCAGTGTGAGCCCTCTCCCCTAAACATTGGTCTTCTCTACTCTCGGGCTTCTTTCTGGTCTACATTCAGCCTGGAAATGACCACATCTGTAATCATGGTCAATTGCAGCAGAATCTCCAATTCCTGGATCCAGTCTTGGGTACCCTCCACCTCCCCATGTCTACAAGGCTGGAGTTTTCCTCTACCACATGCAGTTGCCCAACCTGGAATCTCAGGGGTCACAACTGTTCCTCTCTCTCCTCCTCCCACCACCTGGCTGCTGAAGCTCTGTCCACCTTTCCCCCTCCTTCCTACTCAGTCATTGTTTATTTTATTTATTTTTTTTGGAAAGTTTTTCTACAGAGCCTTGGCTGTCCCAGAACTTGCCATGTGAACCAGGCTGGCCTTGAACTCACAGAGATCCACCTCTGCCTTTGCCTCCAAGCGCCAGGCTTAAAGGCACTCTTAAACCTAGGGCACCCATAATTTCTTGCTTGAGTTTGCAAACTGGTTTCTCTGCTTTTAGTATCATCCCTTCTTCCCCTGAAACTGTTCTGCTACTCCCAGTTAACACACCAGCCACACCAAAACTTGTCTTTCTTGTCCCCTTTCATCACAGCCCTTTCACCTCCCCAATACCCATAGCCCTTTTCCTTAGCATGCACCACTGTTATCCCTGTTTACCTCTTAAGATCTAAAACTCAAACACCACCTCTGCCAGGAAGTTCTCTCCGATACCCTCTAACTCAGGACCAGATTCTCCACCTTTTTCCAAATACTCTATTGCTTGAAAATATTTTAAGACTACCACATCAAACTGAATGCAAGGGAAGGGGGACACATTTCCATAAAATGACAGCTGCAATAAATAGACTCTCCTTGATTACAAACCAAGATTAACTTATTGGTTTCTCTTCTGTCCCTACTCAGGTCACTTAGTAGAGACACTGCAGCAGCCACATCTGTTGAACAATGCCATTCCCTCCCCTAGGCTTTCACCAGGCTCCAGGCAACGGACATGTTTTTTGTTGTGGCCACTTCTTTAGTCAGGATAATAGGCTCAGAATGCAGCAGTCCTGTGAAACCTACCTCATCTTCCCCTGACCCCCACATCTAACATCCTGCCTGGGCTCTGGGCTAGTCAGTCACCACAGCTTCCTGTCGGCTGCTCCTCGGATACATTAAGATAATGATTAAAAGCTAACACAGATGCTTCCTCATCTACAAAATGAGTAGATCTCAAAGGATCTTTTCCCACTAAAATGTCATCTGGATTCATTCTCTGGCCTAATCTGTCTCCTCTGGGCATCACTCCATTTCTGAGCAAGGACACAAATTATCACTGCAGTCCAGGGCCCTGCTCACCTCTGCCAAGTGTCACAGGATGGTTAAGGGCAAACAAGATCTCTCCAATGCAAACTTCAAAGCATTAGAACTATTTCAACACCACCCCAAGTAGTTAAAGATCACAGCACCTCTCAGAGAGTCAACAGCCCCCACATTGTCTAGATCTACTTTGAAATTTCATGGCTGCCTTTAATTTTAGCAGCCAAGATTCAGAGAACAAACGTAGATGTATCCCACCCAAACACCCAAGAAATCCATAACAATTTTTATTTTTTTAAGACATTCTACATGACACCAAGTAGCCTTTAACTTCTGTAAGCCCAGGTTGACCCCAAACTCCCAATTCTGATTTTAGTCTCCTAGGTGCTGAAACTGCTGGTGTGTGCCACCTTATCTTGTTCCATAATTTTCACATATGGGTAATACTCTTGATGTTCTGGTTATCCAGTGGTGCTTGAATGGGTCTGGATGGACGTTTGTCAAGGGTTAGTAGGAAGCACAAATGCTAAGTTTCTTGTACTATGTTACAGGAGATGTCTCTTGGTTTTTAAAGAATGTTGTGTATGCAGTGTTGGTTTTTATGTATGTGCACTGTGTGTGTGTCCAGTACCCACAGAGGACAGAAGGAGTCAGAGCCCCTGGAATCAGACCCAGAGTCACAGATGGGTTTGAACCTGTCTTGTGGGTGCAGGTAACCAAACCCAAGTCCTTTGCAAAAACCTGGTGCCTGGAGCTGAGCACTGAGCAGTTTCATGAATACTATTGTTCAGCAGCTTTTTACTCCAGGTCATCACCCTGCATCAGCAGCATTGCTTCTGGGGTGCATTTGAAGGTTAGAGAGAAGGGCCCAGGCACTCACTCCCAGCTAGTGCACGACGGAGCTGGAATTCAGATTCTAAGATGGCCTTGACCAATCCTCAGTCAGAAAATATGATTTAACAAGTAACACATTTATTAAGTCCTAAGCAATAAGTAAGGACATTGGAGCACTACATTCAGGCAAGTGAGACACACAAACACGTACAGGCAAGAGGAGGAATCCTCATGAACTGAACATGTTTCCCCCCAAACTCTGGGGATCGGGGAGCCTTCACGGCCACACCTTATTACTCATATCTAACAAGCGGTGGAGCTAGTGGGCTTGTTCACCCCTCAAAGAAACTCAGGACCCAACTCTTTGTTCCAAGTGAATCCTCCCATGGCCCCCTGGTCTTGTACCCTGGAGTCTGGGGCAGTTGGAGTGAATGAAAAGTTCAGACCCTCCTCACTAACCGGGACAAACACTTTACAAATCCTATCATTTATTTGCTATTTGCACATTTTAACAAGCCAGGAAGACACGTTTGTATATCACACAGTCACAAGAATTCAATGTGCTTCTCAGAGCATTGGTGTCCCTGTTCTGTCAATATCTGAAATGCACGTGCCATTCATAGCCCTTTCTTAAGCAACAGGAGTCACAGCAGACCCCAGGCTGCCACCTCACCAAGGACCTCCTCTGATATTGTCACATCCATGGGAGTGGTTCTAAGGTTTCTAAGGACAAGGCCTACAAACTGATAGGCTCTTTTAGCCCCTGACCTGGGGCACAGGGACACTAACCATGTTAGAACTCCTGACTTAGACGCTACCTCCTGCTGCACAACCACTCCAGACTCAGGCCTACACAACCAGAGTCCACAATCCCCTCCAAACGTGTCCTGAGTGAAGAACACTGTCATGGCCAAGACCCAAGACCTCTTCCTCTTCCAGGACCATTCATCCATCTGTTCCCTTCACATCCTTCTCCCTCAGGCACATTTTCCTTACATTTCCTTACATAGCTCGTGGCATTTTCTTTCTAGTTCCTGGATAGTCTCTCCTTCTACCATAAGCCAGAAACTTTTCAAATGCTTAAGAAAACAGACATCACTTGCTTTCAAAACCCCAGGAACCTGCTACTACTACCCCCGGGATCAAACCCAGCTCCTGACATTGGCCCCCTAGGCCCTGACTGATCTGACCCATCCACCACTTCAAGCCACCTTTCCTTCATCCTATTTTACCCTTGCTCAGACAACAAGATTCCAGACAAATCCTACTTTCAAGCCCAAGGCACTCCTAACATCTAGAACAGCTCCTTTCTAGCTTATGGTCCTGCAGGGCTCTGCAAAGGCACCTCCTGCAGGAAGTGACAATACCACCTGTGATGTCAGTGTCACAGAATCTAGAATGACCTGGGAGATGGGCCTCTGGGCATGCTTATGGGGGATGGTAGTCTTGATATAGTAACTGAGGTAGAAGGCCAGCCCACTGTGGGTGACACCATTCCCTGGCTGACATTCTGACCATGTTAACAGAACAAGGGATCTGGGCAGCAGGATGGATCCATCCTGATTGAGGTTCTCATGTGACCAGCTGCTTCAAACACCTATCCTTTTGACTTCCCTGCCGTTGACAGATCGCACCCTTAAACTGAACCAAGATAAACTTGTTTTCCATTGCTTTTAGGTGAGTATCTCTTTGCAGCAATAGGAAAGAAACAAAGGCAGCCTCCATGACGGCGGCTTCAGTTAGACTGGTGCTGGCCTTCAGGCTTTTGTCCACTTGCCTGTCAGCTTGCTTTCTTAGGACACAGTACAGTGGTGGGCATTCAGTACACATCTGCCAAATGTAAGAGCCTAGAAACCCAAGCCCGCCAGGCTGCTCTCAGTCCTTGCCTAACACACAAATGAACTTACCGACACAATCGCAGGTGGGGAATTCAGCCTGAGCCCTCTTGGCAGGTGTGTCCAGAAGACTCTTGGTGGGCGTGTCCAGGTACTTCAGAGGTGATTCCAAGAAGCCACTGAGGGTGGGTGTGAGTGGGTTTTCAGCCTTGGTGGGCGTGGCTTCCTGGCCTCCCTCCTCTGAATGGAAGCAGGTGGTTGAGAGCACAGTCACAGCCCCTGAAGACTCAATCTTGATCTTCTTGGGGGAGCGGGTGGCAAAAGGGCTCTCTGGAGCTGGCAGACATGTTGATTGGTTCTCAGGGTCTTGAATGGGCACCGAAGGAGGGCCGGGAAGCCCAAAGCTATCCCCAAATTCAGCTTCAAATTGCCGGATGAGCTCTTCCAGCTTGTCATCAGCAGGGGGGAGGGGGCCACTGGTGGAGCCTGGCTGTAGAACTGCCATAGGGCTGGGGGACCTCATTTCCTGAGTAGGGGGCAGCAGGCTGTCCCCGGAGGGACTAGGTGCAAATAGCGCAAGAGAAGGTTCTGGGGGAAGAGGGGCAGCAGAGCTCTGGGAGGCAGCACCCTGGGAGGCAGGAGGCAGGGCAGAGAGCTGGGCAGGTGGAGGTGCCTGTACTTCCTCTGAGGGTTGGGGTTTTAGCCCTTCCAGAACAATCTGCCGAAGAGGCAGGAAGACAGGCTGCATGTCCCGGGACCTGGACTTCTTGATCTGAATGGGCTTTCGGACACTGGGTTTGATCCCAGGGGTGGTTTTCTCAGCTCCCACAGGACCTCCAGCTGGGGTAGGGGGCTTCTTCTTCTTCTCCTTGGATGGTTTGTCAGGAGGCCGTGGGGCAGGTGAGCCTGGTGGGGCCCACCAGCCAGGAGCCTGAGGCTCTGTGGGAGCAGGGAAGGAGGCATCATGGGCCTGTTCCAAGAATAGGCTGCGCTTGTGGTGAAGGTGCTGCTGCAGCGCAGTCTGGGCCTTCTGGTGGGCGTCAGGCTCCGAGGATGGCAGGGGAGCCTCCCTCTGCGAAAGAGGGGATGGTACTGGGGCAGGGGAGGAAGAAGGAGCCTCAACCTTGACCTTGGGCTTAGTGGGCAGGGCCTCAGGCCGCTTGAATACTGACTGGATGTAATCACTGGCACTGCCCAACAGCTGCTCCAGTTCAGCCATGGGGTCTGGGCTTGGGCGGGGTGCAGGCCAGGAGTTCCGGGGTGTTGCTGGAGGGGTGTCAGTACCCCATGCTTCAGGAAACTCAGTTCTTGGAGTTGCTGGAGGGAAGGCTGGGCTATCGGGAGCAAAGGATGGATGTTCCTCTGGGGGAACCACAGGCCATGAGGGGGCCCGGAGGTAGGACTGGGGAGACCTGAAAGGGGCAGAAGGGGACAAGGCCTCAGGGAGTGGACAGGAAGCCTGGGAGGTGGAATGAGAAGGCTGAGGGAGGGCAGAGGAGAGCTGTGTGAGGGCCTCGATGGCAATGGCTGTCTGCAGGCTGATGTTTTTTTCCTTGGCAATGCTCAAGGCGCTCTGAGACAGAGGCAGGCCCTCCAGGGGAGGTGCCTGGGGGACCTCAGAGCTAAGGAGTGGTCTGTTGCTTGGGGCTGGGAGGCCAGCCTCACCAGGAGGCAGAGTGCCTGGGAGCCTGGGCCGCTCCTGCCCTCCCTCCATGGCCACAGACTTGATCTTCCCCTCCAGCCACTCGAGGTAGTCGGGGCACTCTGGGCCATCGCAATTGCAGTTGGGTGGTTTCATGCCATGCCTTGCAAGGGCCAGGGCGGTCTGTAGCGTGTCAAGGTCTTCACTGCCCTCAGAACAGCTCTCCGGTCGGGCACCCCTGCTGCTGTTCCCAGCCTCACGACTCATCTCACGGTTGAAGGTTTCATAGAGCCGGGTGCTAAGGGCCCCATAAGAGGACACAGCTTCGGCCACAGCCGAAAAGGCCACCAGATCGTGGGCATCTTCCAGGCGAGCAGTGTGAGCAGAGCCTGAGGCAGCGTCCCAGTCGGGCTTCTGGTCTACCCGCCAAGGACCTGTAGCTCCCAGCAGACTTGGTCCGGCGGGCTCTCTAGCACCATTGACCGGCGCCCCTGAGGTGCTTAGCTGCCTTGAATCTCCATGGTACACTGGCCCTGAGTCCATCTGACCTGGAACAGGTCCATCAACTGGGCTGAGCTCTGATCCTGTCTGGAGAGAGAAGAGGGGAAAAAAGGAAAACCATAAAACACACTATTTGTACAGTATCACCCTGCTTTAGTACCCAGTTGTACTTCCAAACCCCTCTTTTCTGGCAAATTCTCTGGTACTTGAGCTTCAGTCTATCTTCATGAATCTGCACTACTTAGCTGGCTTTACCAGCTGCAATAGAAAGGTCTTTAAAAGATCCCAAAGTAGGGCAGGGCAACAGCTCAGCTGGGGAGGTGCTCTCCTTGCAAGCATGAAAGAAAGAAGAGAAAGGAAAAGTGCCAGTAATAGTAGCATACACTTGTAATCTCAAGAGCTGGCGAAACAGAGACAGACCAATTCCTTAGGGTTTGCTGACTAGCCAGCCTGGCTGACTTGGGCAAGCTCTAGGCCAGTGAGACCTTATGGGGGGGGGGAGGGATAGGGGTGGGGATGGATGGCTCCTGACTTCCATACACACACGTGTGCATACATGCAAACACACCAAGAGGTCTTACTTATGTGGTGGTGGTGTGTTCTCAGTGTTACTGAGACCTATAAGAGGTCAGATCAATTACAAAAACCATGATTACCCCCAAAGGCTCTTAAGCTTCCAATAACCAAAGTCATTCGAAGCCCCTGTTTACTCTGTGGCCGGGGTTAGGGGGAAGAGGGTATAACAAACCAAACATGGAATGATGGGTTGTAAATAGGAAGCTAGAAAGACGACGATTCAGGGAAGCAGCCTTACCACTTAGCCTGGGCAGGATCAGCTACAACTTCCCACTGGGAAGGAAACCTACAGTTCCTTCTCTCCCTGTTAAATCATCTTAAGTTAGGGGAGCTAGCTCACATTCCCACATGCAGCCCAAAGCCTGAGGGAAATACTGAGGATGACCCTTTGGAGCCCCAAACTGAGATTAGCCCCGCCCCACACCGAGATCAGCTCCAATTCCATAGCCAATTGTGCTGATGGCATCTGAATTCCTGTTTGGAGAGATTCAGGCCTCTCACTCAGGAACAACCAGTATAGACTCGTGCCCTGGAAAGGGAAGGCCGAGGCTAAAGCAGGACCAAAAGGACCTAGCCCAGGGAGGTAGAAGCAAATACAAAGACTTAACATTAAGTTTACAAGATTCAAAATCCCTTGCAAAGTCCTTCCTTTCCATCCAAGGCCAGAAAAACCCCAGAAGGAGTGCCGGATTCTAAGTCACAGGCAGCAGGTGGGAGTGTTTGAGGTACAGGATTGACGGCTACAGGAGAACGTCAAGGGTTACTGCAGCTGCTGCACAGTCCAATGACCTAGCGCCTCAGCACCCCCAAAGGCAGACGGGTCTTTAACACTTGGTCCACAGTGGCTAGCACTAATGGCAAACTGGAAACTTTGACGAGCTAGGGCCTAACTGGGAGAAGTAGGTCAAAGGGTTAATGGGACCCCGGCTCTTTTTTTTTTTTTTTCTTCTTCCTGGTTCCTTGAGGTGAGCCCCCTTAGCTTGTGACTTGTCCACCGTGATGTCCTGCTTCAGACACTGGTGAAGCCAAGTGGCTATTGACTGAATTTTTCTATCTGTTGTTTTGTTTTTTTCCACAGCTATGGAAAGCTGACTGGTAAAAGGGGGAATTTCAGTAAAGACACCACCTTAACCAAATGATCAACTTTAGATACAACAATGTCTTTCAACATTGTGACCAAATAACTGACAAGAAGCAACTTAAGGGGGGGTGGTATTTTGGCTCACAGTCTGAGGGTACAAACTGTAGGTACAGTTTGATGGCAGGAACTCCCACAGCTGTGGCAATAAGGGTGTGGTGTCAGCAGACCAGACAGAGAGGGAAATGCTGGTACTTAGTGATCAGTACAGGATCACTATCACGGTCTGTGGAAGAGTGCCCATATTCAGGGTGGATCTTACCCCTTCAGGTAATCCTCTTTAGAAAAGCCCTCAAAGGACCCGAGGGTATGTCTTAATGCCCAAGGCATTTAATTCAATCAAAACTACCCTTACAGTTATCATTACACCATGTCAACATCAACACAGTAGCCTGGATAGGTTGGAAGACTCACAACTCAGAACTCCTGCCCAAACGTAGAACCTGAATCTATTCATGAGGACGCTATCAGGTAAAATTGCAGTGCTCTCTACACAAGTGTTCTCTCAAAACTTATCAAAGAACACCTTCCCATTTATGTAGACAAAATACTTGTTTATAGGTTAGATCTCAAACCAGTGGAAAGCAGTTATCACCCTGCTAATGCAATCTGATACCAACATGGACCAGATTCTGCTTTGTCCACCCTAATCTTGACTTGGATCATCATTAGATAAGACAATGCTTCTGGGGATGTAGCTCGGTGGTAGATCACATGCCTAGCACATGTGAGGCCCTTGGTCCAATCCTTGGTATTGCCCTCCAAAAGGTAATCATTACAACTAAAGAATCCAATTTGGGTACTAAAGAAATGGTCCAGAGCTGGGTGCTGGTGGTGCACACCTTTAATCCCAGCACTCGGGAGGCAGGGGTAGGTGGATCTCTGTGAGTTCGAGACCAGCCTGGTCAAAAGAGCTAGTTCCAGGACAGCCTCCAAAGCCACAGAGAAACCTTGTCTCGAACCCCCCCCCCAAAAAAAACAGAAATGGTTCAGCAGTTAAAAGCTGCTGCAGGCTAGAGTTCAAATCCCAGCACAAACTGTGCGGCTCATAAATTCTTGTAACTCCAGCTCCAAAGGACCTGACAACCTTCTCCTAGCCTCCATGGGCACACTCATGTTTACACACACAAAATCTTACTTTAAAAACAGTGAACGCCCTTGTTATTAGGACAAACATACACAAGTATTTAGCAGTAAAGGGACACTATTTCTGACTGAATCTCAGGTAGTCAAAACGTGCATATGTATATATAAACATACATATAGAGAAAATGCTGAAGCAAATGAGACCAAATGAAAACATTCTGGGAACAAGGTAGTTCTGGGTGTAAGTTTTACAAATTGATACAAGTTTTAAGAACCTGTCAAAATAGAAAGCTAAAAAGTTAGTTTAGTTCCTTGGGTTGAACACAAAATGCTTTAAGATGGCTAAGATAATGCCAGCCCCAAGAATGTCACACACAGCCGCCACAACTCCAGAGTCCCCAACACTGTCACACACAGCCATTACAGCTCCAGAGTGGCAACAAGGCCTCAGCTGCAGATCCCCCCTCATTACTGCTCTTGTCTTGGCCACAAAGGACCCCATGCTTCTGTAATGTCTCAGAGCTTTGAGCCTGTGGTCCCTGTGGTTTATTCTTAAAGCATCACTTCTACTCCCACCCCGTTTGCAGAGTTAGCTGTGTGCCTCTTTCTCCAGAACTCTTCCCCATTTTTCACTTATCACACACAGCCAGTATTATGTCTCAGCAGCTGCCTCTTACAGTGGGTGGCAGTTAATACAAGGCAATGTCTAAATCCTTCGCTACCCATAGCTGGTGCAGCAGAGCACTCCCAGGACAAGGAAAGTTGCCTATCCCCCACGGGCCGTGTAATATCTGCTGGAAAACTACCTTCTGGATATCTAGGAAGGTGAGCAGTAGAAACTTACACTAGTGTGGCTTATAGACCTGGGGCTATCTAATTTTACATGCTTAGGTATAGAAGGACAGGAGGAGGAGCATGCACAACCAAGAAGAAACAGTAGCAAGAGTCACAAAAACAATTGTCAGGAAGACTAATGATATATGAGCTGAGGCTTTCCCAAAATGGTCAAGACAACGAAAAGGGATTTTAAAAGTTATTTTTGGTGTGTGAATAAGAACGAACTAAGGCTGGCTGTGTGCCACTCAGTTCCCTCAGAAGGAAAAATGCTTTTCAGACCAAAAAGAATAAAGGGAAAAGACATACACATAGAGGGAAAGGAAAGCCAATGTGTGTGGGAGAGATGAGAAAACCCCAAATTCTAGTTTCCTTGCTAAGGAATCCCACTGATACATTTCTCAAAACCTGCTAGTGAGCCTGGAGCAAACTTGCCAGTAGAAGTTGCCAATGCATACTGTGGGCAAGCATGTTCCCCAACCTTCAGTTCCAAGTTTGAAGACTGGTAGATTCTTGAATGGGTAAGCAGGACCACAAGTAGTCATTTTGGACAGGACACTGTCAATTCAACGACTTCCAGCCTACCTTACCATTTTATGTCCTGTGGCTAATGAAGCAGGAGATAGTTACACTGATACCACGATGCCCAGGTCAGAACCACAAGTGCCACCAGGTCCAGCTTTGTGGGCCTGTCCAGAGTTGGTGTTTATTTATTTTTGACAATTTTTAAAGATCAATTGTATCACGGAGCCTCACTTTTCTTGAAGGTCTAAATTTCTACCAAGAGAGCTACTGCTTATACAGAATATAACTGTCTCAGCACACTCCCCATCTCAGCACCAGTACAGACTCCTGAAACCAGGGCCAGGGGGCAGGGATTGATTACTCATTAATACCTGAATCAACTACAATTTCATTTACCTGTGTTACTTTCGTAGTCCCCGTGGGCTTTTGATTTACAACTGTATCTGAAGATACTCAAGTTTCACAGTGTTTGCCACAATTCTGTTGAGACCAGCTAGAGAGCGTGCTGGCTTGCAAGGGCTGCCACCACAGCCCAACCAAACTCAGATACAAGTTAGTAAGTCGACTGACAAGCGTGGGGTCTAGCAGTCTGTCCCAGTGAGGCAGCCAAGCATAGGGAATAGTTTAGCAACCTGGACTCCACTGGGTTTGGACAATGCATGCTCACCTCGTCTAATAACGCACTTGGCAACTTGACACCCCTCCCCTCTTACCTGCACATCCCACTCCTCCATGAACCTAGAAACCCATCACTAACAAGGTATGCGGCACGCATACCTCTCTCTCAACAATGGACTGAGTTTCTCCTTGACCATTAATCTTAGATCCTATTCAATCATACTTGAGTTAGGTCTGGGTACAGAAAATAGGCCATTCTGAACTGAACTGGCTTGAAGTTTGTGTGCAATAAGACAAATTGTCTTCAATG